GAGAGAGAGAGAGAGAGAGAGAGAGAGAGAGAGAGAGAGAGAGAGAGAGATAGAGAGAGAGAGGGGCGGGGAGCCGGAGGGCTAATGTCGATTCTTACGAGATAACTGGTTCTGGGGCACCTCATTTGGTTTTAGTGTTTTTTTTTCTCCCCTGGCCGTTCTTTTGAGGGATACCTGGCCTAGGGGTCTTTTGGAGTTAAACATGTATTATATTTGGTTTTAGTTTCCTTCCCTTCCCCCCCAGGTCATTCTTTTTAGCTTGTTTTTAGTGATTCTGATATTTGGCCTAGGGATATTTTAGAGTTACCTTCTATTTAGTGATTCTGATATTTAATCAGCCTTTCTAGCTCTTTTTTTGTAATCTTTGCCGCAGACAGTGCGAAACGATATTATCGCATATCGGACGAATCTGACATTCTCTACATGCGATTCACCGTGTGTATAAGTAATGAAGAGCGCCTGTTGCTCTTTTTGTTTTCTGTGCGAAAGAACGTTTCTTTTCATTTTACCCATTAATTAGTGGAGAGTCCTTCTTGCTTTTGCTCCCTTTTTTTCGTTTTTCTTTTGGGTGAAAGAAGCCTTCTTCTGATTCCACCTGTTCATTAGTAGAGTCGGCCTTTAGGCCAATAAGACTCCTTGTAACCATACGTTAGATCCTCATAACCACAAGTTAGATCTATATGTGCTGAAGGCAGTCGATTGAACGGGCCAGAGATTGGGAGTAGGAGGGCAGCCTTTTGTTGTATTTTATCTTCTGCCTTTTTTTCTTTTTTTCCAAGCTCAGGTTTCGGAGCAGCCCACAGCCTTGAGTTTGGTCTGGGGACTGCAGTCTATGCTTTTTCCTTTACCGTAGGAAGAGAGAGAGAGAGAGAGAGAGAGAGAGAGAGAGAGAGAGAGAGAGAGAGAGAGAGACAGACAGACAGACAGACAGAGAGAGTGAGCCGCCTAGGAAATAGAGCACCATCGCCAATTGCTTCTTCGCGGAGGTCTTTTATTTTGTGGTTTTGCAACAAGCTTCGTGTATTTAGCACAATGCTTCTCTTCTGTGATGCACTTCCTATGATTTCATCCCCTTCCCTGCGAGTTTCACATAGTGGAATGATGCCGTCCGTCGGGTTCTGGTGTTTTCGATACAAAGTTCAGGTATTTACTGCTATGCCTCTCTCCCTGGAGGGCCTGGACCTATTCTGTCTATTTCCTCGTCCTCCTGTTCGTAACATACAGTAGAAGACTGTCGTGTTAATGAACAAATGGAAAGAAAAAAAGCAGGGGAACAGTGTTTGTCCATCAACCCATTGTAATTGTAGGGCGGGCTGGTGGGCGACTGTAGCAGGGGCCCGGGCTTCGGTGCCCCCGAAATCCTGGGCTACCACCAGGGGCCCTTGGCACGCAACACTTCTGATTGGAGGTTCGCATGGGACTTTGGGCCCGGTTTGTSAGATAAGATTTGGTAAAGAGATGAAATTGTTGTATAATGGGACGCTGGGCCCGGTTTCCAGCAGGTGCCGCTCCTCACCAATAGACTGGAGATTCCGGCGGTTGGCTGCTGGGAGGTGCCGCTCGTACCGCATCGCCTAGCAGGCCCAGGCCGGTTATATATATATGTATATATGTATACATATATGTATATATGTATATATTTGACGATATATATGTACAAAAGTTTCTTTCAGAACTGACTGCCAATCCCCTCTTCCTCAATGATTTCTCGTGGCCTTCCTCGCAACTTCCTGCACTGCCTTGAAGTTGCTCTCTC